GCTGAACCATTGTCTCCAACAGTGCCTTTCGACGCAGCCAAGCACAGAATTCGTGTAATTTACTCCCCGTTGGTAGACTGAAACATACCGAAGGTCAGTCGTTCCGTCTGTTACCCGATATCTGATCGATCAGAAGAAAGAAGACCAGTCATTTTCGACCATTCTCTGGTTAATCTGATATGGATCCCCGTTTTCATCATTGGTTTCACTTATCGCTTTGTCCATTTATTATATCCAGGTTTTGGCAACTAATCGTGTTTTTTTACGGTTCACTTAAGTAAGTTTGGTTGACTGACTGAATAAATAGTTAAGCTGCTAAATCTATTTTCTGAAACGGTTGGAGAAGTGGCCATCAATCGATTGTCACAACAGCCTAGTTCATATTTTCGCTTCGTTATTGCATACTTAGGTATTTTTATTACATTGATTGGCAAAAAATAAACGCCAATTTGTATATAGCAGTTATTAGATGAATGCCAAAAGTGTTGCTGAAGAATTGGATCCGCATGGCATGCAAATGACTTTTCCGCACAAATTTTCGACAAAAATTATTTATTTGCGGCCATTGACTGATTCATATGTACGTATGAAATGGCATTAAATTCTAGAAGGCAACAACGTAATTGCAGTTCGGGATGACTGTCTCTAACTGAAAAGTGGGATCAAAGAGACTGCACAAACCATCGAGGTAACCTTCTGGGAACCACCAGTTTCTTACACGATTGCTCAAAATGTCCGCGTCCGAATTACCGGCAAGAGTTCGCTTCATTGAAAGCTACATTCTTGTTTACATCAAGGATGTCTGTTGTTGCCTCTCCTGTTAGTGACCGGATCAACCAGCGTATCCAAGCACGAAGAACCTTACAATGGCAGGTCTTCGACGGCATCACCTGCTGCTTGCAGATATCATGGTCGCATTCATTTCATTTCAAGCAAAGCTCCTCCAGCTGATACTGTTAGATTTGTTGGCATGTGCGATAAGTCGGCAATGAGGATCCGCCTGACAGAGCCAAATCTTTCTTTCATGTGAAAAATATCCTCTAAATATCCTACAGATAAGTCCAATGTACTTCAAGTGGAGGCGTTTGAGTATTTCGAATGAGGAGTCGCTAATGGCGGTTGACGCAGCGTTGAAATTAACACGGGAATTGGTCAAGCGAGAGCGGTAAAGCGGGAACTAAACCGGCCTTCGGTGATGAAGAAACAGTAGAGCGGTAATGTGACACGACCTGTCTTCAAGTTCATGCAGGCACTTGACCTCACTAATGGTCACTGACAGAAGGAGTGCGATCCAGGATAGAAGCAGTTTCGCAAGGTTCAAATTCTGGAACACGGCAATCCTGCACATCAGCACAACACATGCTGCATATTCAGATCGAAGGACCACGCATGCAATGTTTTGGGGAAGTAATCTGAACGTGAGATGATACTCGCATAGTTTATTTGGACACATGGAACATGGCCATGAGGCAGTCCGAAGGACAGAGGGCTCGATTATGATGAGTTACGGGTCTGACTTCGTTACGGGTTGAATCCTGTAAATAATGTTTGCCCAATTGATTAAGAACTCGAATCCTTATAAAAACCTTCTTAGGCTAATGCTTTCGCCACCC